TCAATCTGCAAACTGTTTGCTTCAGATTTTGAGTTTGACGAACCATTTTGCATCTGCAGTAAACAGGCACACATATTTTTACAACCAGTTAAGTCTATATATAGTGCACCTATGGTTGCTTTATTTAAAAATTGAGGCAAAATATGTGTACTTTGATCACTTTAAGACCATTTTGTGTAACATCTGGTTTTTATTAATGATAATAAATAAAATTGGTCAAAATAAACATGTTGAAAAATGTTGATTGCAAATCTAAATCAAAACATTTTTTTTCTTTTTTATCATAAGCGCCATGAATGTTGCTACTGGTTGCAACTGGTTTTTAAAAACATATGTGATTAAAACAAAGATTAACGCAGAGCGCAGTCCCCACTGCAACCCTAGCCACACTGGCAGGCGTCATAATAGGCGTCGAACACAAAAAATGGGAGAGGGAAAATAGGCTGGGAAAGGAGAAACGGAAAGGGTATTGCGAACAATTGCTACAATTATCAATTTTATAAAAAAACTATACGAAATACAAAACCGAAAGAGCTTATACAATATTTGATTTAAGGGACAAGGATGTACTGAAAGGGAATGGGGTAGGGGGTGTATGAGGAATAAGGGGAAAGAAATATTACCATTGAAAACAATTGACAAGATATGACATCACCGGATTGAACTAGAACAATACAGTTCAAAAGGCTTTAAGAACTGTAAAAACAACATTTGCCTTCACTTGCGTCCGTCAGATGTTATCAAAAGAAGAGTACGTAATGTCAACTATAAGAGTTGAACGCTTAAATTGAAAAGTTATATGTATATGGAAGTTTCCTGATACTAATACAATCAGGGAAGAAGTTCTTCTATATAGATCTATTTATATTGTGTTTATAACTCAATTTCCTGGTCTGAAAAAGCTCATCAGCATCTGAGAATTTTCACAAGTAATTAGTGACATTATTAACCAAACGCTGAGCTTCCATTTCTTCTATACAAAACTCTGAAATAACCTATGCAAGAACTCAAAGGACGCCCAAAACGGCAAACTTAAAAATGGTGTACTCCCGTTTTGATTGTGCCTGTTTATGGACGGTAGTAGTAAATGAAATCTACCGTCTTCGCCACAGCCACATTAGCAACGGCTTATTCAACATTTGATTATGAAGATGGTGAAATTTTCACATGTAAGAATAAAAAGTATGAAAGGTAATTAATAGTCATGCATGAGATTTGGACGGTTAGAAATTTTATACCCAGTGATTATATTTCTAAAACTTGAAACTTCTTTCTTGTATATACATGCATTTTAAATATGGCAACAAAATCAGCTTTTCACTCTCCTGCTTGACAAGCAGAAAACAAAATTGTAACATTTATCTTGGTAGCGGTATCTCAGGGAAAAACGATCTAAAATTTAAACACAATACCCAATGAAACCAAGGAAACGATTGGACGACAGTCACATTCATCCCGTCCAATACCCTACTTTGGTGGAGAGAATCAGTCAAGATTCACAAAGTTGTATTGATTTGCAAAATAAAGAAGAAGAGAAAACAGAACCCGTAAAGAATGCCAAATACGACATAGTTGAAAACATATTGCAGGCTCGGCTTGATAGAGCCTGTTAATGGACGATCTTAGATATTTAAGAACATCTTAGACCATTCCAGAAACAGTTTCCTCTGAACGAATGTTACGTGTCACATCAAAGGTTGAATGATAACCGCCGTATGAACACATCTGCAGATGTTTCTGAATTAAATCTTTCATCATTTTTATGTTTAAACGCCGAAATCTGCTTAGGCGGGAGCTATGGGGCTTGGACGGAAATGCTTTTTCTAGTATCGTCCATGAACAGGTAATCAAAGCCTGAATTATTTCCGATTTTGTCGTTTTAGACTTTGTTTAAGCATTATGCTTTTTTTTCATTTTTACTACCACAAAACAACGAACAAACAAGACTAGATACGTAAGAAGCACATGCTGTAATTATTATGATTAAGAGCAATTAAACCAGGTTTTCAGATCTTGAATTTACGCACCCCTTTGCTGAAGCAATAAATTAACATGTAGTACTTGGTTCTAAAGAGTTATATTTAAACCATAGAGACCACAAGAATAACGTTGTTATGATTGCCCTGATTAACTTCATAATTCAAAGTTTGTCTGTAGTTTTCATTGAACAACAGTTTCATGAACTTTTGACTTTCCTGTTTGTATTTTTGCTGAAGATTCTGTAATTAAATTGAACTATATACATATAGATGTTAAAATAAATCACATATGTAACAGAATGTTTTGTTTTACTTTATTTTCACCTCTCTGTAAATGGCATAGTAACCTTGCTTAAAACAGCTCTCTTGTAAGTATATACATTTACTTACGGTTTGTTTCTACAAATGATCGAACTATCTTTATAGATCTAATTCTATACAGTTCTACTAAATGTTTTCCGGGATCCTGATAATTGTGTTACCCGACCTACCTCCAGAGCACTTTAAGTACTCATCACAGTTTTTATTATTACACGTTGTTTAATCACATAAAATTCCGATTATCTTTTTCGCTAGGTGACGTAGTTATGAAACGTCAGTTAGGATACTAAATATGATTTTAATAAGATTGCCCGTCTTCATTGCCCATAGCCACAGCGAGTATTAAACTCGGTACTCTCTTGAAACAGTACTCTTTGCACTGTTCATTATCTGCTTAAAAAAATCTGCTAAAGACAAAAATCAAATTAAAATGAATGGAGAAATTTCCTGTGAAAAAGTAGTATACCACGTAACACTTTAATGCGTTTGCTAAGAGTTTTTTTTTTCTTCATAATATGTCTAGGTTTTTAATTACTGCATGTCCATACTAAGCTACACAATATCGAATTATGTATTTTTTAGGATAGCTGTTATTTACAGTTGGCACCAGAAAAAAAAAGAAACTTTAAATAAATTAAATTGTGGGCATTTTTTAAATTGTCATTAATTGCACTGAGGGTAAGTGATAATTTTAAAGGAATCGGGTGTATTCTTTTGTATCCTGGTTCTGATTCAATATTGCTCATATTATTACATATCAGATGTTATTTTGGGTGGTAGGGCTTAAATATAAATTGTTGTCAGTCTTTATTATTTGGAGCAGTGAATGCAAACTGTAAATTTCTTCAATGTGAGTATGTCATATTTTCTGAAACAAATGCTGTACAACTTGTTAACTGCTTGTGTAAAATATTTTGAAATATTTTGTTTCGTAATTTGGACATACTGAACTTCAAAATAGCTTAATAGTAAGATTATTATTTAATGATGCAAAGTTTATGGACCGCTTATTTGATATTCACCGAGGCCGAAATGAGTGTCTTCGACGGGTCAGTTGCACTTGTATATGCTTAACATGCTGGCGTCTGTATGTCTGTATGTGATTCCTTTCAATGTGTTGCAGTCGGTGTTGATACGTTTTCTAGATAAGTAAAGTGATTTTTATGGTACCACCTATTTATATGGATATTTAATGAAAAGTCAGACAGTGCTTATTGGTTACAATTATGACTACGTGTTAACTCAAAACAAAGGTTTCGGCGCCATGTGACATAAACTGTGTTGACCGTAAAGCCAAACGAAACAAAAAGTTTAAAAAAACAAATGAAGACTTGACATCGCAAACAAACGAATCAAGGTTTGACATCGGAGATCTAAAGCCTTCTGGTATAAGTAAATTTTCAGCATGTTACAGAAATAACAATATTTACGTTCACCTTCATGATGATAATGGATCAATGTAAAATGCCTGCCTGTTGTATGTTATCATTACAATAACCATGCGAACTATCACCCAAGACTCGGGTTATTTTTTGTAAAGAAATGCGTTTATTAATATAGTTATTCAAGAAAAGCCTTAAAATTATAATTTTTAAACTAATTTTAGGTTGCGCTGTGAATATTACGGTTCAGTTAAAAACATAAGATGCACATGCCCATGTGATTAAAAACCATAACTTTTCAAATCTAACCAGTCGCTTACAAGATGAAGGGAAACAGTCCAAAAAACTGTATAACCGGTTCCTATTCTACAATATCTTAAATTTTTATAATGCCAAGTGTGTTTTTCATCATTAATACTTGCACTGATAATTCATAGTGTCGTTAAAACCGGATAAACTGTTATCACTCTAGAATTACGATACACTTCTATCTGATTACATTTTTTAACAAACAGCCTTGTATTAATAACTTCACTCCTTTCACAAATACGGTATGGGACCTTAGCATAGGAACTCTTCAGTTATTATTATAATAACCTCGAATTTAATGCGGATTGAAAGTAGTTTTAAATCTCTGATAATGTATAATGAACGTATATATTTGACATTCAAAGGTAAAATTATGATTAAAAAACGATATTTCATAATCAATTTTAAAATGCCCACTGATGGACACTATAATACAAATCTGAATAATGTCTGCAGGATGATATTTTGTATTTTTCTGTTTCTTCAACCATTAATATAAGCACGGTTTATATTTATATCTATAGTTTTACTTAATTTAGATGGCCTTTTACTCGATACATTGGAATATTCTTCGTCAACAACTCCCAGCATTAAAGTATTATATGTTTACATGCGTAGGTTGTACTTAAATACCGTATCCGTTCTGTATATTCTTACTATTGTGTTCGTGGTCCCTTTCCGAAGGTTGGCGGAAAAGGCCGAGAAAAGATGCCATTTGGGCGAATTGTAAACAATTATTTGAAGTGCATACTGGTAATCCGATCGATATTAGATAATATATTCAACCTATTATTTTCCGAAAATCAGTTCCGATAAATATATTTTGTACATAGATCCTATCCACTTTTTTACTTTTTAATTAATAACTATTAAACATAACTAAAACACTTTCGTCGTTTATTATTATTAAGAAATAAACTATTGGTTAAATGCATATAACATGAAACGCTTTATAAAGAAGATAGGCTTTAACTATGAGGAACATGCATTTTGAACTGTGTCGTAACAATATTGATTTTCAAAGCGGACGGAAAATCCAATGTTCTATATTTGGATGAGCAACGATTGATTAGATCGTGTCGCACGCCAGCGGAATGACTGAAAATGATATAACACCTTTAAGGTAAGTCATTTACCATGTTTGTTAGTTTTTTAATTGAATCCGGCTGGTAACACAGACGTTCGGCACATCTGTCTTGCCAATAATGGTCAAATTATCATAAAATAATTTTGATCATGATTAAGCACCATTTTACTATTATATAATATATATATTGACAAAGTGTCGAACGTCTGTGTCTGGTGAGTTGGATCGTGTAGTTGATCTTTTATGGTATATAATAAGTCGCTAACACGGTCATATAAATATATGCACATGTAATTAATGAAGTATCGAGGAATCGACTTTCAACCATAGTTAACTATGAGATTTTATCATTTAAGCTATATCTCCTTTTAAATCTAAATAGCCATATTGAGCGGAAGTAATTGATTTGCATTGTTACAAGTAATTGAAACGTCGTGACAGAGTAATTTGGCATAGCTTAATGCCTGATTAATACCTATTTCACTACATAAAGTTACACAATTAAGAGTACCAGTATTTCAATGTCGTTTTAGCAAAATCTTGTCTACTATGCAATTTCTGCCACCTTGCTACTTGGCATTTTTCCAAAATGGGCGTTTCACGATGGCTCCAGTCGTTGAATGAATTACAGTGCCTTGCAAGCAAATGTTAGGCTAAAGTGAGATAATCAATCGCAATCAATGAATATTATCATAAGAACAAGAAATAAATCCAAAAACTGTGCCAAAGCTAAAATTCAAAGAAATTCCCAAAATGTTTTCAGATAGTCGGTAGATCTAGTATTACTGTAAAGACAGACATGAAGACAGCAGAAATTGTAAAAAAACAATTTTAGCCAAAGAATTAGTCATACATAAAGTTAGATCTTGTGCTAAAACTGCTGATAGGTCCTTAAACTAAAATAACACTTAACGTTATAATGTTATTTTTACAAATAAAGATCATTTATAATTATAAACAGCAATAAAACATGTTTTCATCTTTTTATCTTGTGTTATTATGATTTATTTCTAAGATGACGGCAATTTTCTTGCTAATTTGTTAAACTGAATGAAAGATATTTGTTTATCATGTTCATGTTGTCAAATATCCGTTTCTTAGAAAGGGTGACAACTTAGATATGCCGTATTCCTAACATAGGTATTAAAGACGCTAATACTTGTTTGCTGCTCCCCATTATGCGGATCCATAATTTTCTTGATTATGGTTATGGTTATTTTTGGGACATTATCGCAAAGTGGGGAGGAGCAACCGAGTATTAACCTATTAAAGTAAATAATAAGCTAATATATGTAAGACGGATAACAAAGTAAACGCTTACAATGAAGATTAAACATTGCAGTCAGGTTATTACTTAGTTACTTGTTGTTGTTTTTAGCTTCAAACTGTATACAAATGAAAATGTTATCACTGATGAACGAGTTAGACTGTACAGATAGCTGTACAATATGGTGCTCTAATGCGGCCATCGTTTATTCGCATCGGCGACTTCTAATATACTTTAATACGCAAAACCGACGAAATCATACTTTAAAGCGACGAGACAATACACCAAAGCGACGAGACGATGAGCCAAAGCAATGATGTTTACGGAAATGAGTTAATATTTATTTAATTAAGGAAAAATGATAATTCACTTATATAACTTTAAATTCTTATTATTTTTTTAATGTTTTTTTAGACATATATCATGGATACCCCGTTTTAACTAATGATGTATAAGTAATTAAAAATCACAAATGCATGGAAAATGTATTGTGGAATTCATTGATATAGGTACATTATTTATTGAGACGCAAAGATTATAGCATTCTTAAATATTTTTATAACCATATAAGGAACGCTGTGTTAAATAGCTGTTTAATGAAGATAAGTCCCTATCTGTTTAGACGCTACAAACAGCGGCGTTCCTTGCAGCGCCGCTCTTGTTGTTATTATCATGTGACAGCTAATAATAATAATTTTTCTTTCCTAGAAGGTTCTCTCGCCACATTAAATACCATTATTTCAGTAAAAAACATCAATATTCACCACGAAATATTTACAGATAATATATAATCAGGCACTTTGTTTATAGATGCAAATATTCTTTCATATGTATGCAAACATTTTATTTTCAGGACTAACTGTTAATGTATTATAAAAGGTAACTTTAAACAACCAACAATATGGAGAAGTCGCAACACTTTCATAGAGCAGTTGAACTAAATTTTTCTGTCGGCTCAGAATGTCTGCGTTCGCTAGTACAAAAATACCTTAGAGACAAAGGGGTAACATTAGTACAACACATTCAAGAGCCTCATGTCAGACAATGTCTTGGACAGTTGAAATTGTTTCCAGATCAAAAACAGATCTTAAATGGTCCAGATCCGCAACTGAATGCTATGGATGTATCTTTAATTATAATTTTACTTCTCTATACATTCCCTGGACAATTGACAGCAGCAGACAAGTCCTTTGTGGAGGGACTACGTGAAAAACGGAACGAATTGTCACATCAACCTAGAGCAGAACTCAATGATGATACCCTGTTCAAAGAGTCATGTCACTTTATACTTCAAATCTCTAAATCTATCGATTCAACATACAAAAAGAACGTTGTCAAACAAATAAATGAATTGCGAAGGCGGGAACTTGTTAACACGTACAGCAGTTTAGACAGGATACTTATTAATAATGACGTATACATTTTAAAGTTAGTAGAAGGCTGTTGTACAGAACAAGGTGAGCTTACTTTCCATTTATTCCATTTACTTTTTTTTTTTCAAATAATTTTTTTTTCCAAATTAATGAATTTCATTGTATTCTTAAATAAGAACTCATGGTATTCATGATCTAAATTAGTTATAATCATATCAGTTTCTCTTGTTTCAGAATATTATTGCATGGTTACATTAATACTTATATTTGTTATTTTATCTTATAAAGGGGACAAGGATAATGAGCTGCTGATTAAATTTGGCCTCACAAAATGGATTAAGCAACTATGTCGAGGGATAGACGCAGCGGAATTTTTAAATACTTTGAAAAGTCAGAACATTATAAGCAACCAAGAGAAAAGAGAATTTGAACAAGAGTACTCAAACGGGGGACAAATAAGGCGTCTAGTTCTTTACATGGTGAATTGTGCCAGTAAAGACAATCTGTACAAAATGTGTCGATGTTTGAGACAGGTTTCACCTCAACTTGCAGATATTGTCGAAAACTCTGAGTGTGACGGTCAAGAAATTGGTATTCCATGTTTGTTTACACCTCTATATAGATTACTTCTTTTGTATGACTTAATATGTTGGCTCTTTTTTTCTTTTTTCTTTTTGTTTTTTATTTTCTTTCTTTATGAATAGTAGGGTTTCTACTCTTTGATTATCTACTTTGTCTGAACTAATTTTGCTAACAAATGTTTTTATGTAATAGAAAAAAGACCTTGTTAAACTGATTATCGGTAGTGGAAATCTTTTTAAAATATAACTTTCTAAAATAAGTGTACTTTGAAAAAGAAGTTGATAAAATCAAACCTTCTGATGATAAAATTGTACAGATATGCCATATTTTGAGATTTTTTCTTTATATGCAGAGCGGTACTTGAACATGGAGGCAAAAGAAAATGTTAGAAAAGTTTTACAAAAAGCTTTGAAAATCTCTGTAACGAATGTATTCCAACAGAAGAAGTTCACATTTACGTAGAGGAAACCGTTGGAGATTTGGTCAACTTCGAAATTGTAAAGGATTGTTTACTAATCGAGTTTCCTTTTGTACATTACACGTCTCCTGACTGTAGGTAAGTGCCGTTAGTTTTTAGATTTCATATATATATAATGATGACGAACAAAATCACTGACTAGTTAAAAAAATAGCATATAGATTAAGCACATTGATTGGGCGAATTCAAAATCAAGTTAGATTTGAGAATTACTGATTCCAATATCGTTTAAAAACTGACCATTGCACACTTTATAACACAGTTTATTATATTTCGTGATAAGCAATATTTAACTTTTGGATGCCTAAAGGTTTTATGTGGACCACATTGTCAAATTTCTTAAACGATGAAAATTGTCTGCTGCAATCTTTTTATGTTTCTATATTAATCTAAGCAATATCTGCGCGATTTTGATCTGTGACAAAAAAATATTTCGTTGACAAAAATTAGCTGAATTCTTCCATTTAAAAGCTTCAGCGGAGTGACATGGAAAAGAAATTTAACGACAGAAATTGCAGTAAGCGAAACAGGTAAGTTCTATTGATGGGTTTATTCATTTCTTGTTCTTTATATGTCATAGATTTATTTGTAAAATAGAAATGATGCATGTCGTGAAAAGTTCAATATCTAAATGCATATATCTTTAGTAAGTTTTGTTATTTGATAAAATATTGAAATTATTTTGCTTAATTATTGAAGCATTATAAAACTTCCTTCGTTTTAACGTATTATCCATATAAGGGCAGTTTTGAGCAAGGCTATATCTGAATATTCATATTACCTTACTGTTTCAACAGAAAAGGAACCTAATTTTCATGAACTTTCTTGCGAGGAATTCGCAGATTATATCGGCAAGTATTTTAACAAACGAAGGGCAGTACTGGAAGATATACTCCGAAATGCAATACTTGATGAAAGTTTATCAGCAACAACTTTCGTAGCAATGACTCAAGAACAAATGGAAATAATATTTACGCCATACTTGGGTTCAATAAAATATGGTGAAGGTATGAAGATGGATATGCAAATGATACAGAGTCAAATTAGAAAATCTGTCACTGAAGTAAATGTCAGCGAAGATTCTGTAAACGAAACTTTAAGAATATTTGACTCACCAGTTGGGAAAAAACAGTATAAGATTGCCGTAGTAAAAGCTTCGACAGGCAATTTACTTATTCCTCGACATGAATTTGTAAACGTGTCACAGTATAGAAAACACTTTATACATTTCATCACAAAGGATGTTCTTCAGTTTACTGCTGCTTGTATGAACGGTAGGCAGAATGGCACAATCCATTTCGGAATCGTACCGTTACAGAACGGATTAGGCAAAATTATAGGGATTCCAAAAAACAGCTTCAACGACATCAATTTGAATGAAGAAATAACAACAACACTTACTACATGTTTTGGGGAGAATGTTTCAGCTGCAAAACAATGTATTCGTCCTGTTCAGATAGTTCCAGTCGAGTCAGGTACCTATGTTATAGAAATTGATGTGGTACCGTTTTCTTGTCATTTAAATCCACAAATGTTTTATATAACATACCCACCAAAAGGCTGTCAATGTAGGAAGTACTTTATGTTCGACAGCAATGAAATTGTTACCGTTAGTAACACAAAACTTGACGATGTGTGTGATGCTTGCGTAAAGTTATTAAAACATAGAGAGTATTTGGAGGATAATGCATTGGTTGATGAAAAGAAGGGATATGGTATTCAGAGCAAACTGAAAAAGTTGTTGACAAGAGGTAATAGATACGTGAAGGATGAACTTATTCCAATTATTATTTCTGGGCGCATTTCGGGTAGCGCAAATGAAATGGAAATTCGACAAAAATTAGATATTGATAGAGTATTCTCTTCTGCAGAGCTTGTTCTTGACTTTGATTCATCGATTAAACTTCGTGATAAAGTTGAAGGTAGTAGATCCAAGTTTTCCAAGTTTTTAGTTAAAATAGCTGAGAACCTTTCAGAAGTGGAGCAAAAGACACAGATGCTTGATAAGGCTGACCCGGCACCACCTCTTCTAACATGGCTATACTGTAATGGCAATGACGAAATACAGTCACCACCTTTTCGATTGAGAGAATGGATGAGAGAACGATCTAATGGAATAAAAGCTTCCCTTTGCAAACAAAGAAAAATGATACCAAAGGACAGGGGAATTTTGATTTTTTTAGTATTTGATACCCCGATGATATATCAGGACCCTTTGTTTGAAATAGCAAGAGATGCTTTACTCTTTACATTCAGAGGAGAGTGCCTCATTATAAGCACCACAAACGAGCACGTAGCGTATCTTAAACAGGAAGTTTCCCGAACGCTTGACGATTCCGCTTTGGAATCGTGTTTCGTATCGGGTCTAGTCTGGGATGAAGTTTCAACGGTTATGAAGTCTGTATTTCGTGTAAACGAAGATGTGGTCTGCCGCCTTCCCTGTAGTAATGGACATTTGGTAGAAATGACTGCGAGAGAAAAGGGCGAGCTTAAATTGAGCGATATAGAAATACTCAGTGGAGAACAGTGTATTATGGAAGAGGAAACAATGGGCGATCATGATAGAAAAGCAAAACGACGAGAGTCTCAAGAGTTGTTTTACAAAGGAGGCTCAGTGTCATGGTGGAATTTCTATTACAGAAATCAAGTTGGTAAACGAGATCAGTTCGAAACACATAAAAAGGAAATCAAAGAATTACTATCAAATGATAAAGGTGATGACATAGTGGAAATTCACGAGATTGAACACCACCCTGGTGCTGGGGGAAGCACTCTTGGTCGACATTTACTTTGGGAATTTAGTCAGTTCAAGGGTGATCCTGATTCAGCCTATAGATGTTGCGTAGTACACACTATTACAGAAGAAACTGTTGCCCAGTTAGACAGATTTCGAAGCTTTAAAGATATAGATGATACAAGGCCTTTCATTGTTCTGATAGATAATGAAAGTGAGGAAAGTATTATATTGTTGAAAACAAATCTCTATGAGTTAGCATATAAAATGGCAACCCCTGGCAAGCTGTTTTGTTTACTCATTCTTATAAACAGAATGTCGATAACATATGAGAAAAGACGAGGAAAACATCTCTTAAAGCATCAACTAACATATAGGGAGAAAAACTGGTTCGAAGACAAATTCGAAGAAATGGAAAGAAAAAATGACTATGATGTGAACACCCTGATTGCTTTTAACTGTATGCGTAATTCTTTTGATGAAAAATATATTCATGAAACAATACAAAGGATAATGCAAGGGATTACGACGTCCGAACTCGAGGTTCTTAAGTGTCTTGCGCTTATAAGTAGTTACGAAAGTGACACTCCGATACCCCAAAATATATTTGACAGAATGATGAATAAGGAGTTTGATTTAGAACTGATAACTCGGCAACCTTTTGGAATAAAACACCACATCAAAGAACTAGACAGACTTGCAAAACAAACACCAAAAACATGGAACGTAAACCTTACAGATGCAATGCAGCTTTTATTGACTAAGCGTGATCATGAATCATTTTACCACAGCGGAGTTTGCATAGTATCCAAGCTTCTAGCAAAAGCAGTTCTATTTCATATCATGGACACAGAGAATATTTCGCTAGAAGAAGTTGTTATCTACGTATTAGAACTTGTTGAACAACAGATGTCAGAGTCAAACCCGATGTCGAAGCAATTTGTCAGAATCGTTTGCAGCTTGTTTAAGACCAGACAGCCTCTTGATGGTGAAAAAGGGGAAGCAAAGCTAAAGTTTTCTGATTTGGTTCTAGAACTTGAACAAACGATGGAGACAGAAAAAGATGATGACGCAAGACAAAGAGTTATTCGCGTAATGCAGCGATGTGTTGACATTACTGACGATGCAATGGTTGGTCAACAACTTGCTAGATTCAACATTCATATCAAGGAGTTTGAAGCTGCTGAAAAAGCTATTTTACGGTCAATCAGTAAAATACCACAGAGTTCTTATCTTCTTGATACACACGGACAAATATTCAAAAGCAAAATGGAATATATGTTTGAATCTTCATTACGTATAGACGGCAAAATTCCAGATGATACAGCTGCAGCTATAGTTGATAATGCTTTTACAGCCATACTTAAGTTTAGAGAGGGGCAGTCATTGGCCATTAAACAAGATGAAGACAAAAACTGGATATGTTTTCGCATGGAAGTGATTACTTGGCTTACTCTCTTAGAAAAATTCTCAAAATTTTCATGTTACTGCGACAGAAGAAATTTCTTAAATTTCTTAAACGATGATAATTTTGAGATTAATGGCTCCTCCTTTGAAAATATTGTGGCTTTATGTCCTACACTTGATGGAATAAGATCCGGACGAGAAGAACAAAGGCATGTGGATACTTCATTACGAAGTCTACAGGAAAGATTTTACCAAGTTAAGCATCATCTATATCCTATACATTCCGACAAAGATGTACTTTTATTAAAACTACGAGAAAGATTTGAGCGGTTTTACGGAACTACATATAGTACATCACGCTATAAATTCCTGTATGGAATCGGTCTTAAGCCGCTGCAACATGCAAAAGAAAAGGATCCTGACGTTTTAGAAAAACGTGTAAAGGAAGCAGAAGAGAATCTTAGAAACAAACGTTTATCAGAAGTGGATGAAAGAGATTTCCTAGTTTATCTCGGAACAAAAATTATTACACTGTCAAATCTAAATGAAAGAGCAGAGGAGTTACAGGAGGAAGAATATACCAAACTCTTGAAATACAGTAAATATCTGGTAGATATGCAGACTCCAAAAAACACATCAAATAGGCCTTACCTTGAGTCATACCTATACTATGCTATGCTTCACTGGCCTTCAAGGAATAGACTGGAAATAAATCCAGAGAACTTGTCAGGTCCTGTCACATACTTAGAAAAAATGGGAAATTGGGAGACGGCATACGACGAAAATTTCTTTCTAAAATCTAATGAACAGATTAAGAAAAACAGACCAAAGAATTATTTTGCACTTGGTAAAGGATCTCCTGGAAATGACATTATTGACCTCGAATCAATCAGACGACAATGGAAGGAAATGAAAAAGGAAAATGGCCGAAGTCGTAGGCCAGTTTTCAGAGATAACTTTTGGAAAGAAGGATTTGTTGTTGAGCGGTTAGAACGACTTACTGGAATCGTTGATGGAACAGGGCACCAAATTTTACATAAGGTAGCCTAAAATTTACTTACCGAATTCGATAAAATAAAATAATACGTTTTTGAAGTTTGCACAAGCTGATTTTACATTTATACTAGTATTTAATACGTAATGGTTCTTTCTTGAAAAATTGTTATACAATACGATTTCCGATACCCACAGTATATTTCACTCGTGTATGAATCTGTTTTCATTTGTCTGCTAGTATATGAGTGTTAATTGGTTTTAATAACACAGGTTGAATATTCACAACATGGGACACAAACATTTAGGATAAAGACGTATTACCCATGCAGCCAACACAGTAATCGACCGGTGACCTTTGTTTTAGGGTTTACTTGGAGAGGACCAACGGCATTAGATGTTGATGAAAAGGATCGCGGTGGTATGTAATGTTTTAATATCATAATACATGTAGTTTTATTAAATATGTCGATCAATAAGTAATGATAAATGAAGTCTGGAATTTCTTATATGTTGTTTATATTTATTAAAAGGTTTTAAATGGATTTACATTGTATATATAGTTTTTTTTTCGTCGAATAGGGCAGAGAATTGAGACGTTTGTATCTGTTTTGGACTTTGATGACCAGCCAAGTAGCATAGAAACTGTTGCTGGAAATGATGATGAGAAAGACAACAATCGTGTTCAAGGTCATATACAAGGTGCTTGTGGTGGAACAGAAGAAGTTGTTAGAGATCATATACAAGGTGCTTGTGGTGGAACAGAAGTAGGTGTTATAGATCATGTACTAAGTGCTTGTGGTGGAACGGAAGATGGTACTGTAGATAATTGTAAGGAGAAAGAAAACGCAAGACACCGAGAAAGCGTCGATGAATATAAATCGGAAAAAGGTAACATACGATGACTGATTATTGTATTTACTTTCAAAGTACAAACATGTTTAAAACATTGTCTTGAAAATACTTTCAAAGTTTGTTTTGTTTAATAATGCAGCCGTCTATGATGGTTGTGATGATTTAACATACTGTTTGATAGTTTAATACCTTAGTAAAATCCCAAGATACATCCATATACAATCATAGGAAATAATACTTCCATCATGTAAACAAAACAGTGTCCATAGTCATTAAATATTGAGCAGTTGCATGAATTAATCATACGTTATGTTGTTGATACAATTATCTTCAATTACTTCGTTAGGTCTAGCTAAAATAAACTCCCAAGGACAAAACAAGCGACCGCCATGGATGAAACCTGGTAAAAGACGAAGACATAGAAGGAAATAAGAGTTTAAATAAAGACGATTGGTATGGATAAAGTCATCAACGTGAATTCGAATCGCCATGTGTAGGAATTTTGACACAATTCAATTTGTCAAAGTGACATGTGTTATCTATTCTTCATAGAAATATTTTGTTGTAATTGATTATTTATTTATAAATACTAATTAGCTGGGTTTTTTTCTTTCTTTTTTTCTAACAAATATGTTTTAACACTAGTCAAATAGTATTCATTTCACACAATATTAATTGTTGCTTACACTAAGGTTGACTAGTATGTCGTTATACAAGGTGATATTGTATCAATGGTATTCTTTTTAATTTCGATATATCTGTCAATGTCAAACATTATTTTCGATATCTGTAAAAAGTTTATTCTCAATCCTAACAGGAGTTCGTAGTGTTTAATAATTGGCAATTTTATCACCATAAACACGATCAGGTTACTAAAATCACTCTTAATTGAATGTGTTGTTTGATAGACTACTAGTGATTATTGTCATTGAAAAAAAAATATTTTTGATAGTTTTTTTATACGGTCAGTTGCATGTGCATTAAAAAAATGCTAGTTATAACACGGTCATTTGCATGAACAAAATGCCATTTAGGTAATAGGATGCCCTTTATAACTGAATGCTTATATTATGATGAATAGTTATGATTTAGTTTAAATTCAAGGTTCCACTACTAGTTCATGATGTTTTTTTGTGATTATCTTTGTCATAAACTCTCATCTACATTTTTCCATTCCATTTGATATTTTGATGTTTTTGGTTTTGTATTGTTTCTGTTTTTATGTTATGTTTTATGAAATGAGTTGTAATCTTCAGGAACACGATATGTAGATCTACTTATACGAGTACATGTAATAATGTTTTACAAACACGTATTGTGTTTCAATATTTTTACTTACAGATATAAATATCTCAGTAACATATTGGAACTGAATTTTAAAGTATAATCATCGCTATATATGTCAATCGCCATCTTTGCGAAATACTTTTTCGTTGTTTTGTGTTTCTCCTCAGTTTTAATACTCTGAGTTACGGCGTGCATGCTCTATGTTGAGGCGTTTTTGCTGTGCTCAGAAGTACTAGTACTCTGTGTTTGGGCATGCTCTGTGTATGCTGTTTTGAAGTATACACTTTGTTGAGGCTTGCTCTGTATTGTGGCATGTTTGTGCTTGTTGAGATGTACTCTGTGTTGAGACATTCTTTGTGTTGTGTTTAGGCATGCTTTGTGCTGAGGCATCTATGCTCTGTGTTACGGTATTCGTTGTGGTGTGTTGAAATGTACTAAGTGTTGAGTCCTGCTTTGTGTTGAGGCATTTGTTGTGCTGTGTTGAGGTGTACTGTGTTAAAACTTACTCTTTGTTGAGGCATGCTCTGTGTTGTGATGTACTCTGTGTTTAGATTTGTTCTGTATTGAGGTATTCTTTGTGCTGTGTTGAGGTGTACTCTGTGTTGAGGCATGTTGTGCATTGAAGCAGGTTGTGTGTTGAGGCAAGATCTCTGTTGAGGCATGCTATGTGTTGAAGCATGTTTTGTGTGTCGGATATCTTATGCGTTGTATGGACATGCTGTCTGTTGTAGTGACATAACAGTGCTGTGTTACGGTATATGGGCTTATAGAGAAGTAATTGTAATCATTATTCAGTTATAAAACAGATAAAGATATACAGTATAGATATATAGATAGATAAAAAAAATTGCTGAACAAATGTTGTTATTGTTTAATAATGATGTCTCCCCTTACATAATTTTTTATTACAATTATTGACTTTATTTATTACACTTTCTGGGCATTATTTTATTTGTCAGAACAAGTTCTGCTATATATCTTAGCGTGATAATTGTTTTCGATACATGTTGCGTAATTTATTGGTTTTGATAATGAATCGACATGATGTCTCTCAATATGTTAGTATTTGTACTTTATAAGGAATCAAAATATTTTAATCAATACCTACTGCTATGTTGCGTTTTGTGTACGTTTCAGAGATGCATAATCTTCTGATCGTTTTTCATTGTCGGATACCCAAGGTTGGTTTTTTATTGATCAAATATATCAACATTATATTACAGTAGGGATATATAAACATACAACTTTTTAACAAATATAGTTCATACAGCTATTAATGTATTCAAAGTAGAAAACAGATCATATCATAAAAGAAAAAAAATACATTTTTACCCAGGGTTGATTAACATGTAACATAACTTAATGGTTTGGCTGCGGGTATCCGACCATGATCCTTTTTAATCGTTAAACAAAATTTGAGAGAGATACAGAACAAAACAGAAAATACTGTTTCACTGTAAAAACACGTTGTTTCAAAGGTAAAAGTACTTATTCATTGTGCTATATTTCCTTTAATTCTATGATTGAATTATAAATCACGTTGTATGTAATTTATGTTTATTGTTATCACACGGCATATAAGTGAATCATTAGGCATGATGTATATAATGAGTTAATCATTAATTAATGACTGAATCGTTAACTACGTGATATAAAATGATCAAATAATTTATTACGTGGATGTTTTAACCTTGTAGTATAAGCTAAGTTAATCATTAATTACGTTATGAAATTACAAGAAACGTTTAAACATAAAAGACAGAATGTCTGTCTGTCTGTTTAAACATAAAATGTCTACATGATAATACATATTTTATTTCTGTTTTTATATATTTTAAAAACCGTTTGAAATGTTTACTTTTCGTTTGATATTTTTGTTACGTTTTATCGTAAGTTGTTACTTGCCTGATTTGAATAAAGTTTTAAATAAACCATAGAGCATGTCTTATCCGATCATTATTGCAGCATATATGGGTAATTGTTACAATTTAAAATGAAGTTTGAAGAACTTGTGACGACGAAAAAGGAAATCGAAACTTGCATCCTGCGGACCAGCTGTCGATGCCCTTGCAAAAGCCGAAGGGAGTTGCCTTACAAAGTGTGAGGGCCGCCGATAAAGGGTTTTGAATGCATGGGCAGACGATGTGACGGCTTGAAAGGCAGGCACTTTGCTTGGCAACAACAAGCCTTATCTGACCTACCTCTTTATTATTGTCTAAGTTACTGAAAGCTCTCGGTCCCATTGGTCGTACAGTAAAATACTTTTGTGTTTAAATTTAAATCTCTTTTGCTAATACTCTGGATAAATAATCACCACTTCAAAATTAAACCTGCAGGAACATGATTGGTGATATGTTCTTAGTCCGTACTCGATAGCGAAAGCAACTTTTTGTGCCTGAACGTGCGGATGGTGCTTCATTAAAATGAACTAACTGAGCAACAACGTCCCCGAGGAACCATGGTATTCTGAATGAGTGCTAACTGGCAAACATAGCACCTTCTAAAATTATGACAGATATACTTCCATACTTAAATAGGTACAACATGCCTCAGAAATGACTAATTCTTTCTTTCTATAGAAATGGCAAATATGAGTTTTATAACGTTCAAATAACGCTTTTAGGGTATGTTAGATGCTTATCATCTGAAGAAACTAGCGCTGAATGTGAAACTATTTGTCACAAAAGTCGCAAAATGTAAACAAAGTAGTATTTTGACTTCCATACAAGATAATAAAGCACTATAATTGTAATAATTGCCAAAGAAGCAACAGAAGCAAAAGGTGGTTCATGCACCTGGCCAGTGAGTAACTATTTAGAAATTTTAACAGGACAGTTAAGCGAAAGAGCTGTTGAGAAAAAAAGAATAAGGAGTTCTGGGGCACTGTTGGCCCTTATTGATTGGCCTAATTTAACTAAGTACAATGGTACCGAAGGCGCCGCCATATTTGTTATGACTTTGCTCGAATATAAAATTGTACATGTATCTTAGAGAAGCGCAATGAAACAACCGATTTTATTATGATTGTTAGATTATAATATTTAATACATTAATTGCATAAGTGTTTTACGATAACTTTATAATATTAGAAAAATTATCGAAATTAAGCCTCAATTACAAATACTCATTACATGTGGAATACACCTTTGGTTATTATACTAATTGAACCGTATTGATGGGGAAAATATTCCGAACCTTATCTTGCTGCTGTTGACAACTGATTCTTCACTGCAGACTTTAAAAGCCGATACGTCAGTGCCACGTGATAAATCGGGCGACCCGGGTTCGATTCCCGGACGGCGCTGGTCACTTTCGTTGTGATTGATCATGAAATCCTTTCTTCGGTCATTCGCACTGTACCTTTGCTCTTGCATGTGCAGAAGTTTCAGTTACTTGCGAAAGTGAAGGCAACTAATACTGGTAAACTGCTTGACAGTCTGCCCAGGAAGGACTCGGTGGCTGAACTGTGCTCTGTAGGAGCACATTTGTCTCGGAGCACATTTGTCTTACGTAAGACCGATGCGGTCGCATCTGTCCCACATGAGACAAATGGGACCTCAAATATCTACCCCAAAAAACTTATTTGTGTGACAAATGTGCTCCGATCAAGTTTTTTAAGGGACAAGAAAGCACATTTGTCTCATGTGTTTTTAAGGGATAAGAAAGCACATTTGTCTCATGTCATTTTTATGAATTATTTGTCACATATTTCCCCACGGCAGAAATTCTTTTTTACAATCGAGGTTCGCCGTATTACCTCATGTCAATTGTAATCATCAATAGGTTTGCTTATGCTTTCTTTATGAAAACCTAAAGTAAATATTAATTATAATATCTCTAATTCAAGAAATTGATTGGCTTAACCTAAAGGCGTACACTGAAACATACTAAATCCCGTTCACGATGGTACAATGGTGACAGCGCGATGGCACGATGGTACGTTGATGAAAACACGATAGTGCGATGGTGAAAACACAACGGTACGATGGTGAAAAAGCGAGTGTACGATTGTGAAACAACGAAGGCTCGATGATGAAAACGTGATGGTACTATGGTGAAAGACGGTGTTACGATGATGAAAATACGGTGATACGATATGATGAAACTGCGATTGGATGATGATGAAAACGCAATATGTTTTTCTCAATCGTGACAGCGCATCATCGTGATTTCACCATCGTGCCATCGTGTTTTAATCATCATACCATCGTACCATCTCAATTTCACCTTTGTACCATTGTGCATAGCTGTCCAGGGAGACAAAAATGTTACTTATGTCCAAACAGAACACCGTAATCGGTTGATATTGAATGATATTATATCGTAACTCGTTTCGCATCTCGCCGAAATCTCGCGTCTCGCTTCGCATCTCGTTCGTCGACGTGAGACAAGAAATTGATTCCAGGTCATATACCGCTAAGTAGTATTCCCTTTATAGTCTACATAGAATCACTTAAAGGCCCATTATGCCTGAGAAATGCTTTTATTTGTATTCCTTAAAAGCTTTTTATTTTTTGGTATACATTTATAGCTCCAAAAAGGTTCTCATTGGCTAATTACCTGAAGCATTTTTTCATCTGCTGCTTTTTTGCAGTTTGTACACTTGAAGTGATTTATCAATTACTATGTTTACAATTTGCTACTTTTATATCACATCATTTCACATTTATCGGGTCATTTATTTGGGTTACAAGCATCTAACTACCTCAGAATACTAATAAATTCATACTTGCCCTATCTAAAGAAGTAAAAAATTATTCATTTCTGAAATCTCGTGGTACGGGATACTTCGACATTGCGAGATCTCGTGTTACAATATCGTGCCTCGCTTCTTGTCTCATTGAAAAGTCGCGTCTCGCCCGATTCTGAGTGGCCCGATATTCCTTAATTATGGCATCACCCGGATTATTTTAGAAACTCATGCGTTGTAAGTGCTTTTTTCAATGGCGGATCTGAAAGCCGCAATTCTTGGAAAATGACTATTTTTTCTACATATATTTCTGATGAAAACAAAATACGTGTGTAAATGTCTTCTTATTTTCTTCCATAGATCATTTAAGGGCCTCCGTGGCCGAGTGATTAAAAAAACCACAAGCCCCTAACCGCTGTAGGTTCGACACATACACGGGGCGTCGAACTATTCATGCGAGGATCCCGGTCAGGTTCCAAATGCGGAATACAGATCCGCGTGCGCATGTAATAGCTATCGCGTGCGCACGTAATTAATAAGAAAATTCTATGTCCCCTTTATGCCACCGTAGATACTACCTTGTTTTGCTAAGAATATTTCTAGTGCCATAAATCATTTATAAAACTTTAAGCATTTAATATAAACGTATCACTAATAACGATAAGAATAGACTTGCTGCATATGTGTTTAGGTATTGATGCTGCACTTGTAGAAATTTTCATTATGACATGCAGAACAGGGATATTTTTTAAGGAAGTTTTTGACTAACTGGAAGTCACTTAAAAACGGTATTATAAAAACAGAAAACACAGAACAATGGCTGGTTATTACCTTTTAAGAATTTTATGAAAAACTGTGAGACAAATGTGCTTCGAGTGTCCTTTCTATTGTGTGTCGAACACATCTGTCTCATTTCCAATTTGTCGCAAATATGAATGTTAACGAACACATCGGTCACACTTCGTGAGACAAATGTGCTCCGAGACAAATGTGCTCCTACAGTGCTCTGGTAAATTCAATGTGGCTTAATGCCGTGATCCGGAGTGAAAACTACCACCACCACCACCACCTGATCATAGTCTGCACTGCTCGCTATTAATTCAATATTAATTATAAAATAATTCTTAAGATTGATGACTGTTTTTGATGAACAAGTCTATTTAATACATTTAACGTTGATAGGGTTAATTATTTAATATACGATATTCAGTAGCATTATTTTTATATACATTTTATTCAGTATTTGAACGAAAAGAATATTATATGTTTTTTGTTCCTTCGATTTTTCTTGAAACATGCTTGAAAACGTGTGTGACATGTGTAGGCTTAAACAAAAGATAAGATATGTTTACATACATATATCCATGTTGTCTAATTCATGTAACAAAAACATGCAACATCTTGGAGGCTATTGATACGAAAAATGGAAATCTTAACCTGAAAACGCACAGATGTTTCTTTTATAATTCGATTAAAGTATCACGTGACTTCAAAAGCTGTGATTTGTATCATTTTTAAATACGTATTTTGGATGCGAGTTGGCGCATTATTTATTTAAGAGCGATGTACCTGCGAATTATTGTTTCCCTGTTGGTGATTGTTCCGTATGGGGGTAAATAATGCAATTGTTTTGTATATTCTAGAAGTAGATCTGGATTATAGGGAATAATTCTAGGACGCATATTGTAAGGCATTTAAGTAATAATTCTTTTACAAGCTTGTACATCGGCATAATTCGATTCGTTTTAGATAGACATTAAAAAAATAAGTTCAGATATTTACATTGGAAATATTAGATAGGTAAGAAACGGAGTTAACCGAGTGTATATGACGTAATACATGTACTAGAAGTAAATATTCTTATCGGCAAGTTTCATATTACATGTACTTTATGTCTTCTTTTTGGGTTCAAATCTTACCAGGGACTTTGGATTATCTCATAATTATTAGGAAGATACCCCACGTGCGGTATGTGGTCCTTCTCTGGTGCCCGCTCGTGTAGCCCGAGGGGCACCTGTGGTCAAGTAAATCTGAGTAGTGCCTCTAGAAAGTTATCACTTTTATACCAACCAAAAATATTTCATTAGAAAATAAATAAATTGAAAACGATCCAAATCGCCAGACAATCCTTGTGGGTTATTTTTTTTCAATCATGTTTATTTTTATTATTGCAAAGTTGGAAGACACGTGAAACGTGAGGATAGCTTGTACTGGTCCAGTATCTATGTGGAGTCATCATCACAGGGACCGTTTGTGATAGCCGGTATTCAACCTGAAGGTGAATTTATAATTCTGGAAAATATCTCGGATGAGAGGGTAAGTATATTTATATATTGGTGATGTTGGTAGTTTTCACTCCAGATCACGGCAGTAAGCAACATTGAATTTACCAGTGCACAGTTCAGTCACCGCATCGTTCCTGGCAGGCCGTCAAGTTAACCAGTAATAACGTGATCAATCACTGCACCGTTCGGGAATCGAGCCCATGTCGCCCGATTCACAGTCAAACGCTCTACCTATTGAGCTTACCGGACGACTTTATAAACCAGTCTAGACCACATAAATCTGTCTAGAAGATTATTATATGGTAGTGAAAATATAAATAATTTCTAGGACAAAATGATAACCTATTTTAGATTACTTAATATGCACGATTTCTCAGTAGTAATTTTGCAATTTTCTTATAACAAATGGTAATTTGTTACAAATACACAAAGTTTCAGCAGACGACTAGTCACAGTTTTGTGTTTTTATTTATCTCGTGCGCACGAGACACTATGTCGTGGCCACGAGATACGAAGTCTTGGGAACGAAATAAATAACCAATCAGATTACACCATTTATATGAATTTTCCTAATTAACTAGACATGTTCTATAGTAACTCGTAACTTAGTAACTCGTGGCCACGACATAGTATCTCGTTCCCACGACTAAATTATCTCGTGCCCATGACTTAGTAACTCGTGGCCACGACATAGTATCTCGTTCCCACGACTTATTTATCTAGTGCCTACGATTTAGTTACTCGTGGCCAAGACATAGTATCTCGTGGCCACGACATAGCATCTCGTGCCCACGATATAGCATCTCATGCCCACGACTTAATTATCTCTTGGCCACGACTTAGTAACTCGTGGCCTCGACATATTATCTCGATACCACGACTTAACTATCTCGTGGCCACGACATAGTATCTCATGCGCACGAGATAAGTGAAAACACAAACATGTCACCTTTATGCCACCGTAGACGACAGTCATGATAATTGTTTCATTATTTTTTTATTTAACAGGAATATCTGAATGGCTGGAAAATACAACAGAAGATTGACGGTCGCCTTCGTGAACCATACATGTTTGAATTTTGTTCCATCGCTCCACATCATAAGAGAAAGGTAATCATTTCCCGATATACATTGTTAACATATTTATGTAGAAATCTCGAAGCTTACTTGATTCACTTCCGTGTCTGTTCCGTTGTCTTAACAGTACATGTGTCATAAATGGAAAACATAATTTTAAAGTAAATTGGTCTATAAAAGTAGATCTGTAATACAATAAATAATGTCTCTAGTATTTAGTAGTAGACATTATAACAAACGAAGAATTATACCTAGTGTGAGATACATGATAGGGTATTTCAGATATTTATATTGCGGATAATAAAATGTTCTAGACCAAAATATTATAATTCATGATATAAATGTAAATTTCACATCACTTCACCGACAAGTTTTTCAAGCAACATTTTATAAGTATATCCAAATGATACATTTCTATTGTTTTTTTTATCAATACTTGAAATAATTACAGAAAATGTTCCCACTATAAACCAATCCACTTTAAAGCTACATGCCTCCAGACGAGCCAAAATATTTCACGAAAATCAAACTTGAGAAAAAGGAACTAAGATTCAAAGAAAAGTAAACATATTCAAAATTCAAGAAATAATTTACATTCATTCTATAATTATGCAAACAGTAACTGATTTTGCAGTACATTGTATATATCACCATATTTCTATTGCGTGACTAACGCAGTATTAGCTATTACTGCATTTTCTGACCTATTTTTGGTAATTTACATGGATTTTAAGTGCCGTTTGCAATTTGTAAATAACTTTCTTTGTTTGCATGACAATATTTTACTTTTAATACATTTTGAAAATTTTCATTTAAAAAATAGCATAAATCTGAAGGCATGCTGCTTTAAACGCCTTTATTCAAATTCAAACATTAAAGTGAAATTATGTCCATGCAGGTGTAAATGGTCAGTAATAAAAATAATAATTTGACATTCTGTCATAAATGTGTTCAATTTTATATTTTACGATGAAAAAAAAATAATAATCCACGTGACCATCAGAAATTTCTATAAATATCTTCAAAATGTGTCATTCGCGCTCAATTCTTGTAAAGAACGTGGCAGTGTAGGAGCACATTTGTCTCGGAGCACATTTGTCTCACGAAGTGTGACCGATGTGTTCGTAAACATTCATATTTGCGACAAATTGGAAATGAGACAGATGTGTTCGACACACAAAAGAAAGGACACTCGAAGCACATTTGTCTCACATTTTTCCATAAAATTCTTAAAAGGTATTAATTATGTCCACCTGTATACCGGCTACCAGCCATTGTTCTGTGTTTTCTGTATTTATAATACCGTTTTAAGGTCATTTCCGGTCAGTCAAAAACTTCCTGCCTCTGCATAGGAGTCCTATATTAAATTAAAGAATTTCCCCGTTCTGCATGTCACAATGAAAATTTCTACAAGTGCAGCATCCAGAACCTAAATACATATGCAGCAAGTCTATTCTAATCGTTATTAATTGTGATACGTTTGTTTTCAATGCTTAAAGTTTTATAAATGATTTATGGCACTAGAAATACTCTAAGCAAAAACAAGGTAGTATCTACGGTGGCATAAAGGGGACATACAATTTTCTAATTTATTACGTGCGTACACGATAGCTTTAACGTGGCCACGCGACACTATTACGTGCGCACGCGATATTTATGACGTGCGCACGCGGATATGTATTCCGGATTTGGACCCTGACCGGGAACCTCGCATGAATAGTTCGACGCCCCGTGTATATATCGAACCTACAGCGGTTAGGGACAAGTGGTTTTTTGAAATCACTCGGCCACGGAGGCCCTTAAATGATCAATGGAAGAAAATAAGAAGACCATTACACACGTTTTTTATTTTAATAAAAAATGTATGTATGTAAAAATTACGGCTTTCAGATCCGCCGTTGAAAAAGCACTTACAACGTGCATGAGTTCCTAAAATAATCCGGGTAATGCCATAATTATAGAATATCGGGCCACTCAGAATCGGGCGAGACGAGACATTCCGATGAGACACGAAGCGAGGCACGATATTGTAACACGAGATCTCGCAATGTCGAAGTATCCCTACCACAAGATTTCAGAAATGAATAGATTTTTACTTCTTTAGATAGAGCAAGTATGAATTTATTAATATTCAAATAATGATTTCTGAGGAAGTTAGATGCTTGTAACCTAAAGAAATTCGCGATAAATGTGAAATAATGCGTCATAAAAGTAGCAAAAAGTAAACAAAGTGGTATTTTGACTTCATTACATTATTCTAAATCACTTCAACTGTACTGCAAAAAAGCAGCAGTTGAAAAAATGTTTCAGGTAATTAGCCAATGAGTAACTTTTTGGAGCTATAAAAATATACCAAAAATACAAAGCTTTTGAGGAATACAAATAAAAGCATTTCTCAGGCATAATGGGCCTTTAAGTGATTTTATGTAGACTATAAATTGAATACTACTTAGCGGTATATGACCTGGAATCAATTTCTTGCCTCGCGTCGACGAACGAGATGCGAAGCGAGACGCGAGATTTCGGCGAGATGCGAAACGAGTCACGATATTGTATCATTCAATATCAACCGATTACGGTGTTCGTTTGGACATAAGTAACATTTTTGTCTCCCTGAACAGCTATGCACAATGGTACAAAGGTGAAATTGAGACGGTACGATGGTACGATGATTAAAACACGATGGCACGATGGTTAAATCACGATGATACGATGACACGATAGAGAAAATAATATCGCGTTTTCATCATCATGCCATCGCAGTTTCATCATATCGTAATGTTTGTAAGTTACAAAAACGAATTGCTAAAATCATTTTACAGCAACCTCAAAGATCTCCGTCAACAAATCTATTCGAAACTCTTAATTGGTTACCGTTCCTTGACAGATGTAAATACCACACGGCGGTGCTTGTTTTTAAAACTTTAAATAACATGGCACCGACGTATATGACAGAACTGATGACTTTATCCGACAACAAAATATATAACTTAAAATCTAGGTCACGGAAAGATATTGTATTAAATGGACAAGACCTAAAACAAATTATATTAAAGACACATTTTCTTATTATGGCATGAACATTTGGAACAATATACCTTTAAATATTCGTAATGTTAATAACCTTAAATGTTTTAAAGAAAAATACAAAGCATATCTTGATGTTCAAATGAATGAATGAGTGAGTGAATGAATGATTGAATAAATATATGAACGAACGAATGAACGAACGAACAAATGATGCAATATACATATATGTTTAAACAAAAATTGTTGAGTGCCTGTCGAAAGTATATGAGTTGTATTATTCTAAAAATTACATATTATACATTCATTTTTCTACCTATGAATGTCCTGTTGTTGTTGTTGTTGTTGTTGTTGTTGTTGTTGTTTTCTTTTTCAGAAGGCCACTTTGGAAATAAGATATATATGATTGTTATTGTATGTTCTTAATGTGTAACCTTCTTTAAATAAAGATATTATTATTATTATTATTATTATTACCATCGTATTTTCACCATCGTAACATCGTCTTTAACCATAGTACTATTACGATTTCACCATCGAACCTTCGTTGTTTCACCATCGTACAATCGTTGTTTCACCATCGTACAGTCGTTGTTTCACGTTCGTACCATTATGTTTTCACCATCGCACCATCGCGTTTTCATCAACGTACCATCGTGCCATCGCGCTGTCACCATTGTACCATCGTGAACGGGATTTAGTGTACGCATTCAGGTTAAGCCAATCAAATACTTGAATTCGAGATATTATGATTAATAGTTCACATTAGGTTTTCATAAAGAAAGCATAAGCAAACCTATTGATGATTACACTTGACATGAGGTAAAACGACGAACCTCGATTCTAAAAAAAGAATTTCTGCCGTGGGAATAATGTGACAAATAATTCATAAAAAATGACATGAGACAAATGTGCTTTCTTGTCCCTTAAAAAACATGAGACAAATGTGCTTTCTTGTCCCTTAAAAAACTTGATCGGAGCACATTTGTCACACAAATGAGTTTTTTGGGGTAGACATTTGAGGTCCCATTTGTCTCATGTGGGACAAATGCGACCGCATTTGTCTTACGTAAGACAAATGTGCTCCGAGACAAATGTGCTCCTACATGGCAGTCTTTCTATAATTTAGGTAGTATCGTATATTGTATCGTTAACATTTTCATTATCAATTACTGGTCACTTACCATTATAATTACAAATCTATTGACTATTGAAATATTTTACTAATTCAACCCGTCTTGACAATGAGAAACTGAATATATTGTCACTTTATGTTAAAGTGTGGCTTTAAAAAAAACAAATGTTAAGTTCCATGTGGTCACTGTTAAGAGGTTTTGAATAAAAACCATAAGCTTAAATGTCTTGACCAAACCATTTAGAAACTGGAAGCCATTATATTAATCCACAGTTACAATATATGAAACCATACCGTCAGTGTATGAAATCAAGGTAGCAATATATAATTTTATTTTCTCAATATGATACGAATTCTTCAATATATTGTACCAAAGTAGTCATTTATGGAACTAGATATCCTTATATGAAACCAAATTATTAATATATTAATTCATTTGACAATATATGAAACCAATTTATCAATGTATGGAACCGAAGTAGGAATATATAAGTTGATTATCACATTATATGATACCAATTCTTCAATATATGGTACCAAAGTAGCCATACATGGAATCAGATGTACTACTGTTGTTTAAAATAAACGAGGCACAAAGTTGGTGACATTGCTTTTCTGACTGAGTTGAAGATATCAAATGTACGAATCCATTTTGATATTGATGAAGTTTCTCACAGATAGTTTCTTAACAAATTTCCTAAAACCAAGATGGTATTGTTTACAATTGCTACTGCTACTATGGACCTCTTTAAAAATAATGCTTTTTGTTTTCCTTATTGTATATATATTCACTGAAAAACAATTCCATGGCATTTCGTTGTATTGGGGGTTAATTTTGAAAATGTAGAAGGATATGAACTTTTCAACACGGTGAATTTCAGATCGTTGCTAACAAATGGTCCGAAAATGCTACAGCAACTGATTTTGTTGCCACTGATGTATACACGTGGGGAACCGGAAGTGAAGTCAAAACATACCTCTATGATAAAGATGATGACGTAAGTTACCTCTACAATTATTTTCATATAATTCAATATAAAATTGTGTTTTTAAATAGCACAAATTTACTGTAACTTTAATTCAAGATTCAGATGTATTTAAGTTTAATATAGTATGTTCTTTGAATCTGATTTTTTTTTTCAAAAAGAGTCATATATGAAACAAAGCCACATTGAAATGAAGATTAACATTCTCTTTAGGATAATTTAAAATATTGTTCTTTTGAATTTAAAATTTGCTTAACAATATTAAAACACGTATGTCTTGTTGCAATAACTCTTGATTTCACGTCAGTACGGATAGGAATTAACCCGGTCAACTTTATAGAGCCATTTTATATTAATTAACGATGATTCTATCAAACACACCTTTCGTACAAATTAAAGTCTATCATAATATTCTAATTCCATTCTTATAACATGGTATTTATTTATTTATTTATTTATTTATTTATTTATTTATTTATTTATTTATTTATTTATTTATTATTTCAGCTGAAGGCTAGTCATATTGTTGGCACGGCAACATCGTGAGTCACATTCAACACAGTGTTGGTTTTTATTTAGTTAAAAAAGACAGGAAATAAATACTTACGAACATTGCAAGAATGACTACTTGTGTAATCTTATTTCATATATTAAATTCTAATTAAATAAATTTATGTACCTAATACACGTTTTGTTCTTTGCTTATAACCTCCACTGGCCCCTCACCGCTGTGGGTTCGAATCCCGACAGGGACTTTGGATTCTTTCATGTGAGGAAGCTATCCAGCTAGCTTACGGAACGTCAGTGCTTCTACTCAGGTGCCCGTTCGTGCCTGAAATAATGCACGGAGGGGCACTTGAGGTCTTCATCCACCAGTAAAGCTGGAACGTCGCCAAATGACCTATACTGTGTCGATGTGACAAACAAACAAACTTATAACCTCCGTCTCACTCTTGGAAACATAAATTTTGTTATTTACTATGTTTTATTACAGTATTGTAGAATAACGTAAAATTGAATAAATTCATGAAAAGATATTTACCGTAGTAGATACCCCCCCCCCCCCCAAAAAAAAATCCAACCACCGTCCCATCCACTAGCATTGTCTAAGGGGCGTAACCTTTGCTTCCAATAATGCATTTCATTCATTCATTACTCCCCTTTGACCATGTTCAGCAAAGCTCAAAAACGCGTTCTATTAAAATAATATAATGTTTAAATAATGCTCAAGGCCAATTAATTGAGATATTTATCTTTTATTTGCATTTCTAAACGTACTAGTTTAAAAATCCTAGGGCATGGAAGGTCTCAGTGTTTGTAAATTCACTTTCACATTATATCCTTAAAAATTAGGGATAACTTAGGTTTTCTCTGAACCACTGTTTATTGGAGTTACATCCCTTTAGTTGCCGAATGGAATGCTGTACACTTCATTTCTTTTTTTTGTCTTTATATAAGAGTTTATATCCGTCTTTAAAGGAAAGGAATGGCTTTTGTATGTAATGCACGAACCACGCGAGTGCTTCCAAATATGTGCTTAAGTATGTCATAATAATTTCTAAATAAAATAAACTAGTCTTAGGTTTCTGGTTTGGCACCGCCTAGAATTGAACAAACCAACAATCACAGTCTGCAACAAATTATCAAACTATAAGAGGTGTTGAAAGGGTGACATTGTCGTTGTCTTACTCTCAATCAAAAGATCGTGGGTTCGATCTATTCTGGGGCCACGACCATGCCTCATAATATGTATTTACAAGAGTTCTTCGATTAGTTTTAGGGAATAAAATTTCTTCACCATTTCACAAAAAAAATTTCGGGCAGCAGCCACGATTTTCTAGTTATGAAGCCTAAAACTAATGCAGTCAAAAGTTTTCGTTTTTGCAATCGTAATATAAAGCACCTTCAAGAAATTGTACTTTTTTTCAAAAGCAAGAGACACTGAGGGCTAAATGATTTTTTTCTTTTCTTTTGATTTGACTTTATTTGGTTCGATTAATTTGATTTTCGTTTCGGTCCATTCGTTCGTTTGATTCCCTGTTTTTTATATTACGTGAAATATTCTTATTCCTTATAATGTACTAGTACAACTTGTACCTTAATTTGCATCTAATATATCCGTAAATAATTTGTTTCTTGGCTTTTACAATTCATGTAATATACAAAATTCAAAGTTATAAGTAAAAAAAAATCGGGTAAAAATAGTGCTTTAAGTAAACATGTAAAAAGAAGTCGCCATTATTTCTTCATTATCCATAGAACCTTTAAAGAAACTGTTAAATATGACATAAACTGTCCAACTTACTGTCTAAACATCCATTTTATTCTAACTTCAAAGCATTCCTCCCCCACTAAAAACCTTTCTACAGACGGACCATCAATTTAACTTTTTTTCCAAGAAAATAAAAAATAGAAAGAAAAACAAAATTTAAGTTAAAAGAGTTCGTTTGAAATATGATTTCGTAAAGTCACGACACCCTGTTGCGTAAAGTGACACAACTTGTTAATAAAACGAAATAATTAAAGCAGCTGCGAGTTAGGAGCACGCTATGAATGATGTTATCATTTTGATCTTTCTTATCATGGTCTACAGTTGATAGAACGATACGAGCGATTCAGCTGATAAGCCCATAAACTGGCGGTGTTGTACTGAAGTGGTACCTCTTCACGGAGCTCTGGGACTTCCCTGTGATCCTTATCTTTTCAATGAAGGTGCAAAACATTTCTTTTTTTTAATTCTATTTTTGTAAAATAATTTAAAATTACACTTAGATAAAAAAAAATGTTCAACGAAGAAAGCGTTTTTTTACATACTTTTCTCATGTACCATAAATTTTGTGATTAAAAAAGGAGATTTGGAAAGAGTGTGTGTTATTGTTACCATACCACTGAATTTTCATAAATTTCTCAAACAAAATGCCAGCGGTATTTTAAAGGAACCGTTATTAGTGCAAATTTCGGGGAAAAACTGTATATAAATAATGAGTACCACACAGTAACAAGTACACTGACCATAAAAAGTAGGAAGCAAAATTGTTTTCATTTTCAAATTATTTCATGTGCATATTAAAATAATGCAAATGGGGGGGTTAAAGACAAACGAACATGAAAAGTACATTGTATTGGTTATAAAATACTTCCTAGTTATGAAATATTCTCATTTCTTTAACAATTTTCCGTTTTCTCTCAGTTGTCATAATAAGTAAAAGTGTTTGTTGTTGTTGTTGTTTTTCATATACATTTTATATGATTTAAGTAATTCGGCTGATATAAGAGACGGCAAAGAAAAAAAATGTACACTTAAATGTTCAATATACGTAGATATATAAGAAACAAAACAAAATATTCTAACCGAAGTTGTTCAAGTTGTAATTTGACGTGCTTATGAATATAGCTTATGCGGGTTTCCTTTATTATTTCAGGTTGATTGTTGTTATTGTTGTTTGTTGTTTTTCTTTATAACCGTAAATCTAGTCTGATGAAACAGAACAATATGTCACATACATTGTGATTACAGCGGAACTGTCTATTATGCAGTCTTGAATGTGTCCCGGACAGGTGTACGTACAGACCGACAGGCACACATACATTTCTAGTAACGTGTTATGCATTTTGTATATATATGTAATTTTTGTAACTCATCATCTCAGAGCTAAGTAAAGTTATTCAGATTATGATATGCAACAGTTTGTCAAATGTCAATAAAAAAATTCAAATTGTTCCTGCTGTCTGTCAACATTATATGTAATCATTTCAAAAGAATTGAATAAACAAAGCATATACAGACAAGAGTAATGGTTGTACGATTTGTGACTAATTCTTGTTATTACCAAGACCAACCATCCGACGAAAATCAAACTCACATCTTACACTTTACCAAGTCCAAACCCATGAAATTTATGTGCAGGATGTCGGCAAGACGACTGGTGTCCCGATACACAACAAAAACTTTGGATCATCACAGATTTTATACAAGATACAAAATGTATTATTTAGAAACGCTCAGGTCCCGTTCCGATGTGTTTACTTTAATGTTGACGTCTTGTTTGGAATTTTTTAAGATAAAGCGATTAAGCTTGGAGTTAAATGTGCTAAGACGAATGCCTTTTCAAGTGGGCTGTTGAAAGGTTAAATGCACGCGGAAAACACCGGTGGTCCGTGGCTTTATGGGACATTATATTGTAATGTTATATAAAAAAAGATATTATACTTACATATGTTTTAATAGTGATAAAAATGAAAAATCTTATGTTTTAATGTTTTCATTTTAAAATAACTAACATAAATATTTCAACTTGTGTGCGTTTTCAACTTTTTGTGTTAAACATTGGAATCAGGGTGTTGACGGTGTTCTTTTTAATAAAGATGCAAATTTAATAAATATGTTTTATGATTTTCATTTGTATTTATGTTAAAAAGAACTTAAGATCAACTGGGGCACTTAAAACTGGAAATTATATGTTAAAAGATAAGAAATATATATTTCTTTACCCGATCTGAATCAAAGACGTTTAAACGCTTTTTCATTTAAAGGGCAACTTTGCAGAATTAAACTATTTTTTCCACTCTGATCAAAAAACGGATTAGCGAGGGATTGATCTAAATTTTTGAAATCAATTTATTGACCCAGGCCTTCACTAAATGGTGAACAGATCTTGCAAGAAAAAATCCAGTTGTACTCTTCATTTTTAAAAATATATTTTTTTTATATTTCAATTATCTTTTGAAATATTCTTATATAATTTATCAACAGTAAAATTGTATTGTTTCTATAATCTTATGGTCGGTTTTTGAAAAGGTTATCTGTTATTTAACACACATAAATATTAAAACAATATTAAACAAAATAAAATGTTCTGTAACAAAATAGTAATAAGTGTAATCGTCATTTGCTTTTATGGCTTTCATATAAACCAATTTTGAAGCATTCTTTTTTTAACTGAAACTTGTTTCATGCTTTTATTATATGTAAATTGTATGTCCAATATACTTGTAGAGGCCAGAGCATGAATTATACGTTCCTTGTGAGACCGAGATAATATTATATTGTATCATATTGTACATTTTATTGTATTGTATTGTGCTGTGTATTGTATTGTATTGTATTGTATTGTATTGTACATTATATTGTGTTGTGTATTGTATTGTATTGTATTGTATTGCATTGCATTGTGTTGTATTGTACATTGTATTGTATTGTACATTGTATTGTATTGAATTGTATTGTACATTGTATTGTATTGTATTGTATTGTATTGTATTGTATTGTATTGTATTGAATTGCATTGTATTGAGCATAGTTTATGAAAGATATTCTTGTTTGGTTTATCCATATGTAATCAGAACTCTAAAGAATTGATTATTTTCGGAAATAAGGTTTGATTTAGACATGAAATTCTTAAAAATTTTAGAAAAAAAATAATAAAAAAAACAACCACTTAAGATATTTGATAATAAAAATTATTGGATTATGTACTTTTGTATTGTTTCACATAATAGAGTCAGTTTTACAGACTATACAGTGATATTTCGTGAAGCTATTATATAGCACGTGTAACTGAATATTCTAAAAGTAAAAGGACTCTACAGTCATTTGGTTTAAACATTATCTATTTCAAAATTATTACATATAAATTACAATCAGGATTTAGTTGAAATGTTAGAACTTTCTCTCTCTGTCCATTAATCTTAGTCAAAAATAAATGCCTTGACACCTTTCACATTCAAACGATTAGACATTTTTGTTGTTGTTGTTGTTTTTTTAATGAAAATCTTTATTACTAATGAAATTAGTACTAAGTATAACGTGTTTTAAGTAAACTTACATAGATTTAGATATAATGCACCTTTCTATTCAAATAAAATTAGAATTCAAATTTAGATTTATACTATTTCCGGAAGTGACACTACGTGGACTTTAATTTCAAGTAAGGGATAAAACGGCAATAAGATCTCATATAAAATAAAACTATCTTACAGACTAATTTGTAAGAAAACTATCAAACGTCGAATATAACTTCACGCTCAATTCATTCGTTCAACATGATAGCGTTTTGTGACGTAATCTAGCGCGTGCAATGGCGTAACAATATGGCGCCGGGGAATAAACGCGTTCATGTTAGTTGAAACGAGGCTACATGAAAGAAATGATTGCATGCTTGAAATGAAAATGTAATGAGAATTCATTGAGTGCTGAAAGTTAGTGAAAAGACGCTCATTCCCTTGCGTTTAATAATCTTATTTTAAATATTTCAAATTACGTCATTTTATAACCTAGATTGATATTTACATCACTTCCGTTTCAAATTCTGTAGTTTTCTGAACATAGGCCCCTAAATGGAAGGTCTATATACTATCAACACATTTATTCTTATGATCATTTATGCTTGCTTTTTCCTCCTAAATGCATATGATATTCATTCAGATTGTAATGTTTAAAAAATGTCTTACTCTGGTCAAACTATAATTGTACAAAGGGTATAGCGTGTTCCTCACTTTATATCTTTGTTTCAAACTTATTTTATTCACGAACTATTTTTTTTAAAGATATAGATTTCTACTATGCTCATCCTTGACTAAGATATCTAATCACAGAAATGTATTGAAATCTATGAAATTCCTACTGTATAATAATATATTAGATAGCTGCATTCCCTATTACAGGTCAAGTAAAGTTGGTCATTCCTTAAATAAAAACTGCCAGTTTTTTAAATGACACTATATATTCATATTTTGACCACATATTATGTGTTGAATTTTAAACACAACATATCTACTATGTGTAAAGGCAAAACATGTTTATTTTATTTATACAAAGATTCTGTGTAGCAAGTATCAATATTTCCAAATATCAAATTTGAGCATAGTATATCTTTAATTTTTGACCGAATTATTCCTAATAAAAACAGTATGGTATTCTGACACCCAGTGCTTTCGTTTTAGAAACATGGTTCAAATCTACTTGTTCTCTAAACACAAGTCAAAGGGTTCAGACAACTAGTGCATCATTTCTTGGTGCGTGTGGTCACCCACTGTCCTTTTCAACAATGAATAACGTTATGTTAATTAGCCCTGAAATTTCAAGTTTTTATCCCAGTTAATCGCTACAAAATAGGCATGTAATTTTTTTTATCTAAATAGAAATAGGTCTAAGTAAATCTCAAATTAACTTAATTACATGTATGTGCTTGCACGCAAGGTTGCAATTAAAAGCAAACGTCTGTTGCGCACGAGGAATTTCATGTTGTTGTTGGGTTTTTTTTATTTTGTCACAGCCCAAACAAGTTGCTGTTTTTACAGTGAAATTTAACAAGAATTTAACTAGTGGCAATATTTCAATTGCGTTTGTTATTAAAAAAAATATATATATACATGTAAAGTGTAATGCCGTACATTTTATTTTTCTTTGACAAATTCCAATTTCATCCGTTTTATTACAGTTCATTTTTTCTATCTACAGGGAAAGCAACGTACAATGCGGACATTTAGAAGTTTACGCACATGTCAATTAAATACACCTTCTTTACTTAATTGCTCATAAAGTACCTAAGTTGTTTGGCCACACAATTTACAAATCATCTTAAATTTCTTGAGTTTATTTACAAAAACATTCCACCGTTGGTTCCAAAATAAACAATACGAAATGACGGCTTTGCCGGGAAATATTATCCGAAGTGGGCGGTGCTAAAACCTCCAGCGCGTGAATCAGTCTCACTTTCGTTCGCCGCTGTTACATCTGTCGTCTATGCTATTGGATTATTGGCTGTAAGGCGGTACCTTAGGCTAAAATGATTCCTGAAAATCTCTGAATAAATTGAAATAAGATAAGAACGCCTGATATTTCCGTGATATCATTCTGATTAAACCGTGCAGTCGGTTTAGAAAACGGTAGACTAATCTGCAAGTTTTATCAAAAATCAGCTCTTCGTACTCAGAAAGTCTTTTAGCCAAGATTTTATCAAAATACATTGAATGGGCAAGATAAAGGAAAGAATTTACAGACTTTATTGTAATAAGAAACTTCTAAGCGAAAATAAAAACGATTTGATGGAAAATTATTATCAAGGTGAGTAAAATGCTTTTGTTTTCTTTAATTATGCATGTAATAAAATATTCCGAGTGACTTATATCTGCATGATCAATTCTGGAATGGAATTAATTTATTGTAGAAAGGAAAGTAAGTGAGTAAAGTGATAAAGTTAAGGAAAAATATGATGATAACGATACGGACATGTCAAAGTGGTCTGTATTTCCATGATTACTTGTATCTAAACTTAGGGGAAAAAACTTAACTTCATCTTTCTTATTTTTTATGTAACTGAGAATGCTTAATTATATTGATAAAATAAAGATATCACAACTTTAACATCAAATCAATTAGTGTGTAATTTTGTACGCAAAAGATGTCCAAATCTGAATATGTATGATATATGGTGTTAAAAGTAGATTGAAAAACTTGAGGATATATGTTACAACTGAAATTTATACACGGTTTCTGGCAAAAGTCTTTAAAACATTTTCTTTAATTTGTTGCGCCTTCCTTAAGTATAAGAATGATATAACTTCTGACAAAATTACAATTAAAAAAAAACCTAAAAATGACTGTGACAATCTAATAAAAAACATTTCAACAAATATAACGTTTGAAACGCAGCTTTTTGTTGTTGTTGAGTTTTGTTTTGTTGTTTGTTGTTGTTGTTTTTTCATTAACATTTTTTTCTCAGTTGACTTTCTCTCGCATTATAAACGCAAATTAAAAAAGCGAACCCTTAAAAAATGAAGTAACGAGATCAAAATTTGAAAGTAAGACTCTTGAACTTGATAAAGACCATGATGATTTTTATTATTTTTTATTCGATAACAGTTAATGTCATTTTCGAATTTTGTTCTGCACGGGCGTATGCCGATCAAATTCTGGCCATAAACATATATCAATCTGGATTTCTAAGGTAAAATGTGACTGTTTCTTGTGAATGGATCTACATAGGGCCTTTGATGTTTCCTTAACTCTACTCAGTGAGGGCAATAAATCGCTTATTACTTTATCGTAACATCTACATATGAGCAGAATAGATCCCTATCACCGTGCCACCTGCAAATCTCACGGATTCTGAGATTTCGCGATAACTGACCTATGTTACAATAAACCAGTTTAAGGCCTAAAATAAAAACATCGTTTGTTGACCTCAGACCAGGTTAAAGTTAGCTAGAGCGCATTTAAGTAAAACACGCGAAATTCGTGCAAAAATATGACATGACAAATATCATCACCCCAACTGTAAGAAATTCTGTACAATTTTCTTGTGCTTTGTTAATTGATCGAAGTTAAAGCAATGAGCAATACATAATCAATATTCAATACAATTCAATCCTCAATACTATATAAATTTATTTGTTTATTTATTCATTATATATTTATTCATTTATTTATTTATTTATTTATTTATTCATTTACACTGTAAATTTTTTATTTACTCGTTTGTTGGTTCCTTCCTTCCTTCATTTATTCATTCATTCATTCATATATTTATTCATTCATTCATTCGCTCGTTCGTTCATTTATTCATTCACTCGTTCGTTAGTTAGATCGTTCGTTCGTTCGTTCGTTCGTTCGTTCGTTCGTTCGTTCGTTCGTTCATTCATTCATTCATTCATACATCCATTCATTCATTCTCTTGTTCGTCCGCTCGATCGTTCGTTTATTCATTTATTTATTCATTTTTTTTTCGTTCGTTCATTTATTCATTCATTCATCCAACCGTTTGTCCGTTCATTCAATCAATCAATCAATCAATTGTTCGTTCGTTCATTCAATCAATCATTTATTCATTTTTCTTTCATTCAGTCATCCTTTCATTCATTCATTCATTCATTCATTCATTCATTCATTCATTCTTTCTTTCTTTCTTTCTTTCTATCTATCTTTCTTTCTTTCTTTCTTTCATTCATTCATTCAAGAATATAAAATTTCAATAATTTAAATGGTATCGACAGTATACTAGTAGACAGACAATTATATTAAAAATTTAAAAGGAGTAAACTTTTTTAGTTTGGATTTTCCAGTACTAAAACAGTCGTTGCGAAATAGTAAGGACGCAAATAAGGCACATCATTCAATAAAAACGTTTAGAAATCTCGTGGAAACCTCTTGAGCCAAACAAACCTGACACAAATTGTTATCAGTAAGCAAGAGGGGTGCATCATAAAGACATGGGGGTTTAGTTTATACATAAAAGATACAATTACAAGTGTTTAGCAGTAATGATTGGGCCAATTAGCTAGAATTTCCTATCAATTAGACGGTTACGCGTCTATTTGCATTTCTTCCGGTGTGTCAGTTGGGCTTAACAAGCTTATGGATTAATTTACAGTTACTTTTGGTGTTTTCTTCAAACGCTGAATAAACAAAGACGTTTCATGTAGATGTAAATTAACCTTACACCTTGCTATGGACCAGCAACCCATGCTTCTAATGATCTTATCTGACTTTTTTCTTTCTTTCTTTCTTTCTTTCTTTCTTTCTTTCTTTCTTTCTTTTTTAATGCAAAATGATTTGTTTTATTCTACACATCACCATCCACACGTTTTCACTCAAAAAAAGTTTTTATTGATTTAAGAAATCAGTGTTATATTTCTTTTGAATGCGTCCGAAGTTCCAGTCAGTTTGCAAAGTTTATATAATGCCTTCGAATTGCGATATTTGTCGGAAAATCGTTTTGAAACACATCATTCTAACATTCGTTTAAACTAGCCAAAAATCTAAACTATATTAACTTCATCATTTAAAATTAAGTATAGAAGGAAAAAAAAGAATATTAACAAAATCTTGACAATTATTTGACACTAAACGGTGAAAGCCGAGACGTTCCGATATCGCGCCGAGAAGTGCCAATCTTGAGCGCCACTCATGGGGCCGCTTAAGTTACTGCTAAATAAATATTTATACAAATGAACGTACGGAGTTAAATTGCACCTATTGCTCCAGATGGTGGCATTGTTTTCTAGGAATTGTTTGTACATGGTCGCTGGTTACAGTTCTCGCTAATGACAGAAAACTGCAAAGAAAACACGCCTGGTAAACCACCGAATAATTTATTTCTCATGAAATTTCTTATTATAGACTGCAGTTAATGTCTATTTTTGAAAGTTTAGCGTCAAAAAACGTACCATATCCGTCTCATATGTCTGAAGTTTGTCTAAAAATAATCAAATAGGAAAAAAAGATCGATTTATTGAATGTAAAAAAAATGTAAAAATTGAAAACTCGTAGCATTCATTAATCGTCCGGTGTCGTACTTGGAAGAGTGCAATTTATTCCATATGTCATATTTATATCAGTAAACATTTATTAGTCAGAAAATAACTAAATATTAAATATAATTTGTTCATTTAGACAACTTTCAAATACATCTAAACATTTCTTTAATGGTCAGTCCGAAGTGAGTATGAATTATGAACGTACAAGAAAGAGTTGTTTGATGTTAAAATGTTAGGCCGAAATTCATTGTCAGGATTTTTTCTCATGCTATTTAATATTTTATACATATTTTTTATAAATAAAAATCAGAAAAAAAGCAACAGAAAAATAAACTCGTAAAAAAATTCTCAGTTTATTTACTTCGTGTGGTCTATCGGGCACCTGTCAGTATAAACCGCCATGTTTTAATGTTTGAAATATACTTAAAACAATGGATTAACCTTTCATCATTTTGACATACATCTATGTTAATTCCAGGATAAATATTTATAAACAATGCTCCATGTATTTCTTTATCTTTCCTAACCTCGCGTAATCTCGTGTAATCTCAAATAATCCGAGATTGTCAATACATTACCGTTACGGTGATTATATCTTTGGGAAATTTAAAAAAGAGCTTATATAACGTGACTTTTTATCTCTGGATATAATTCCAAGAACACAGTTATAATATAATGATAAAAAAACAAATTTTAATAATTTGATAATTCCCCGCCATGAATATTCATCCGACAAACAATAACTCTAAACATCGAAATCATTTCTGGCGGCTTATTAGGTAAATTCCTCCGTTTAAACCCCATCCAACCCAACCTCAATAAATAAATAAATAAATCCAACCCCGACCCCAATAAAAAAATAATGAATGAATGAATGAATGAATGAATGAATGAATGAATGAATGAATGAATGAATGAATGAATGAATGAATGAAAGATATCATTTTTACTTTTCAAAAGGTTTTTGGGTTTGGTGTTTCATTGCAGTTTCCAACATATATGTGAGCATTTGCCATTCAACTTATTTTGAACGTTTAAGTTATTGTTTAAAAAAGTCCATGGATGCTTCAATAAGATAGATATTCCCACAGTTGTCTTCTTCCGCCGTATCTGTAAACTTCACCATTTATATTGCATACACAATAAATGTGATGGTATTTATATTGTATGAAGTTAATTTAGCCACAGAGGCATGCATGCATGGTGTGTGAGCGCTTCTTTCTTGGTGAAAAATTAATAATGCTCCTCCAGGGCCCCATCATTTCTTGTATGCTCAGTCCCCTGAGTAAACTGGTTTGCATTTGAAACAGAAGCAATTTGCAGAGAAAATGAGATTTACACGTAACTCATGGAGCACCTGTTGGCATTCTGTATATTCCTGCGCCATTTCTTGATGTAATGCGGCTTTGTAGAATGTAATTGCGCAGTTGGTAATATTATTATTATTTCCGCGATCAAGGGTCGTCTGCTGCAGTTGATATCAGCCGTTTTAGAGTTGAGATACATGTAGTTCACATTTTTTACAATATTTACCTCCCTTGCCAAAACAAGCAGCCATTTAGGGGGTCAATAATCTATAGACAAGGTATGAGAATATCAATATAAACAGCTGATATAATTAAACTGTCAAATTCTTTTTTTTTATTTTGAAGAGTTGTATTATTATATCACCAATATGTAAAATATTTATCAGAACTTATGAAGATGATATAATTATGAAAGTTTTTTATCTTATATTAAGCGTAATTGAAATACATCGGAAATCATGCCCCGAAATGACCCTCAAAATGGTGGCCAGTGGAGGTAATA